ACCAGCCAGCAGCGCTGATAGCAGCGATCAGCGTTACCCACTCGCGATTGCCTGGCTGAAGAGTCTTTGGCCTGCCTCTCCTCTCTGCTCCTGTTATAACCAGCTGCGTTGTAATCTTGCCCATCATAAAGCCAGCTTCATTAAAGTTATAGACGTCCTCATTGCAGATACCCTGCTTAGCCTTTGTCTCTTCTACAAGCTTAAACCACCTCTTTATTGATGTCGCATCCTCACACAGAGCTCGCTGCCTATCGTACGCTCGGTTAAAACACGTCCAAAGACTGTCTGTACGCTTGACAAAGTTAGCTGGCCACTTCTGCCCAACCTGGCCAGCGCCGCGTGCAGCCAGCAGCTTATCAGCCATATCACGTGCAGCTGCGTAGGTAGGCGCAAATCCACGCTGATCTAGGTGAAGTATATAGCTGACAATAACCTCCTCTTCTCTCTGGGTAAGCTTCCTTGAGTTAGGCTGGCAATCGCGTCGCGCGCGCTTTCCAGCGCGCCGGTCAATTAGGGTTGATTTTGGGATATTAAAGACTGTAGCAGCGCGTCGTGTACTCTGAATTTGGGCAGAATCTATAGATAAGAGAGCAAGCTGAATATCTGCTTCATTTGACTGCATGAGCAGAGCGCGGCGTGGAGGCATTGTGTGTTAAGATAGAGTAGGTGATCAAAGTTGGTGGGGTGACCAACTCGCTTGTCTGACCGACTCGCTTGCCAACCATGTTATCCTATTAAGCTTTAGAGCAACTAGCTTAGTTCTAGATAACCTAGAGGTGGTGCTATCAAGGCTTGAAGTGAAGCCTCATACACTAACACTACCTTTACCTAGGAGTACCCCTTAGCAGCCTAAAACACTAAGCAATGCCTAGGAAATAGAGGCTTAAACAACGCTAATTCTTAAGAGGATAAGGGACTATAGGAGTTCCTTACCTAAGTCTATTCTTAAGATAGTGCTGCAGGTTAAAAAGGGGTTAACTTTAAAGGTACACTCACACACGTTGCTTGAAGCTTAGATAGATAGTCTTAAGTAGGCTGGCGGAATGGGTATACTCCAACGTCCTTCGTGGGTACCCCCCAAAACCTTATCAATAATACATGGATTCTAGCAAACTAGGGCTGAAAAGAAAGAGAAAAACCACCTCTACATTTTTATAATAGAAGGTTTTATTATAACTATTAAACTGCACAAGCTAGAGGCTAGAAAAGGTTAAAAAAGGGGGGGTACCTAGTAAGCATACCTATTAATAGGTATACTTTGCTAGGTAGTGTTAATAAC